AGGGCAATTTTGCAGCATCTATAAAAACTGTAAGTACATATATTCTTGAATATAGAACTTCCATGTAGCTTATTTGTATTAGTCACTTTCTTGTCACTAAGACAAAAATACCCAACACTCACAACTGAAAGGAGAGGTTTACTTGACTCACAGTTTCGGAGGGCTCAGTCTGTGCTTGGCTGGCTCCCCGGCAAAATGGGCAAAGGAAGAAGGGAGAAGCTAGTGACAAGAATGTTGCCCTGCAGCTCGTGCTCCCAGTGACCCATCTCCAGCTGGGCCCGCCTCCCAGAGGGCACCCATCTATGAACTCATCAGTGGTTTAGATCCGAACCATAACAGCATTCTTCGTGTAGATATGCTCACATACATGCTTAACAAAATAGTTCCTAAATAGCCTTCCCAGATAACCTACACTTTCTGTTCGTCTTCCTAATTTCACATATGCAAAATTAATTTCTATTTTTATTATTGTTGTTTCTAATGGTTTCATATTGTAATACTAAATGTAACCTTTTTCTTTTTTCCAGTACCAGCGATTTTTCTTTTTGAAAGTACAGGCTTCATTTTGGCCTTTATGTGATATAAGATACTTTAAAAGAGTTTCCTTTACATTTGGTAAATACAATAACATACCAAGATTATTTAAAGAGAATATACTAGCTGCCCAAGTATCTATTACTCAGGCATGTATGTTCCTGGTACTTAAGATCATCAGCTAGAACCCTATTCCACCTCCCCCAAATAAGCCCTACCACAAAGTAATGGCTCTGTTTTGTTCTTGAAATTATCTCATCCACCTTAGCTTTGTTTCTTCCTCAAAGGCAGATATATGCTATTACTGAAATTCACATTGCAGACTGATCAAATCTATTTCCATAAATAGTAGTTATTGCTGAAAGGCTGGAATAGTGCCAGGTGTGGTGGCACACTAGCAGCACTTGGGAGGCGGAGGCAGGAGGTTTGCTGTGAGTTCCAGGCCAACCTGCGCTACACAGTGGGTTGAAGCCAGCCTGAAATACATAGCAAGACCATGTCTAAAAAAAAAAAAAAAAAGATTGGGAATGGGACTCTTCAGTTCACATGGAAAGAAATGGTTCATATGGAAAGCTATCCATAAGAACATGACTACGCCCTAAGGGACCTTGGAGACACTCCTCCTGGTGGGCGTTCTGTGTATCTGATCTTGCCATCCCCAAACCAGGCTCCAGACTGGCATGTGACGTGCCTTTGGGAAGCCCCAGGGCACAGTGGCAAGGGTCCACATTGGGCAGGTCATCATGTCCATCTGCACCAAGCTGCAGAACAAGGAGCATGTGATCGAGGCCCTACACAGGGCCAGGTTTAAGTTCCCTGGCCTCCAGAAGATCCACATCTCCAAAAAGTGGGGCTTCACCAAATTCAATGAGGATGAATTTGAAGACATGGTGGCCGAGAAGCGCCTCATCCCTGATGGCTGCGGGGTGAAATACATCCCAAACCTGGACAAGTGGCGAGCCCTGCACTCCTGAAGGCTTCCACTGTGCCATCCCCCAACAAGTTCATGAATAAATGTTCTCTCTTCTCAAAAAAAAAAAAAAAAAAAAAAGAACATGACTACTGAGTCAAGTTACACATCTCCCTCGGTTTCCAGTGACATTCAAGATGGAGTTCCTATGTTAGGCAAGTACTGCTTTTTTAATACTTTCTGCAGAGTCTAAATCATAAAAATTCTGCTTTACATAATCCAGTATCACTTTACCATAGCTGTAGATAGTAACTCTACATGCCCAACTTATTTGGCAAGGAGACTGTCATATTGAATAGTCAACAGTAAGACAGAAAAATCACAGTAGTCTTCAAAATATTTTCCAGTCCTATTTTACTTTATATTTTTGATACAGGGTCTTGCTCTCTATCTCAGGCTGGCCTTGAACTCTTGACAATCCTCCTGTCTCTGCCTCCTGAATGCTGGGATTACAGGCCACCATGCCAGGCATAAAGTTTTATTCTCTCTCTCTCTCTCTCTCTCCCTCCCTCCCTTCCCCCCTTCCTCTTTCCCTCCCTCCCTCCTTTTTTAAACAGGGTCTCACAGTTCAGGTTGGTCTTAAACTCCCTATATAGCCCAGGCTGGCTCTGAACTCTCAGCAACCCTCTTGCCTTAGCTTAAAAGGGGTAGGTATTACAGATATATACCACCGTGCTTGTCTAAAAAAAAAAAAATCAAAATTACATAAAGCAATTCATGACAAACAAAATACTAAATTTTCAAATAAAGATTACTAAATTTCCTTTTGCTTCATGCTCTAATATAGTTTCCTAAAGCACTGTTAGTGATCCGGACTTTAATTAAAATCATGAGTCACTGAATAAAGTACTGTTTTAAGAGGCTTCATATGCCAGAGATGTGTCAGGCAAACTATAAAGAGGAAACCTAGGGAACCATTGAAAAGATTCTTAGTGAAGACACTCTCCAGTGGTGGTGAACCTATAGCATGTGTGTTATTGTTAAGACAAAATATATTAATGGTTGCTTTTTTCTAAATTAAAACCTCAGTACTCAGGTTTAATTGCGGAGTTGGCACCAGGTGATAAATAAGTGGGTTTTGGGTTGCAGTTTGGGTGCTCATCTCTAAAAGGTTTGCAGGGACCCGGGGAGACAGCTCAGTAGAATAAGCACTTGCCTGGCAAGCACAGGGTCCTGAGTTCAATCCCCAGTACCACAAAAATAAATAAAACAAACAAAAGGTTTGCCCTCATTGTGTCTATACATTGTACTTATGATCTTCACATGGTAACTATCTCTATGTAAAACTATGAGGAGCTAGCAGTGTGCTTCACAAACCTTGGGGGTTTATTTTCTTGTGGTACTAGGAATTGAACCCAGGGTCTCTGCACCAAGCTATATTTGCAGCCTTTTCGTTTTGTGTTTCTTTTCTTTTCTTTTGTAGTGCTGGGGATTGAACCCAGGGTGTTGTGCGTGCAAGGCAAGAGCTCTACCACTGAGCCACCTTCACAGCCTGGTTTTTTTTTGTTTTGTTTTTGAGACAGGGTCTCACTAAGTCACGATGACCAGGCTGGGCTCAAACTTGCAATCCTCCTGCCTCAGCCTCCCCAAATGCTGCTATGACAGGCGTACCCCACTATGCCTGGCAGAACCTTAGTTTTAACCCAGTCCAACTCCCTTCTGTGTATGGACTTCCAGACACTGGCACTAGAAAGGTCACTCAAGAAACTGATGTGAAGATCTGTCCCCTTGCCTTCCTCTGCAAGCAGCTGGTTCCTGTCCATCCCTCTGTCCTCCTAAGACAGGGCCCTGGCACAGACTCTTCTGAAGAGTAAAGAAACAGAAGAAACAGCCACCGGTGTGCCTGGGCCTGCAGAGTTTGGCCTTTTCCTTTTTCTTGGAGGAAGTTCATCAGGCTACCAAAGAGAGCACAGAACGGAATTGGCAGTTGTCACATAGGGAGGGAGGCAAAACCATGACTCTAGCTATAGCTCTAGACAGTGTAGCTGCATTTTTGTGCCCTTAATTATGGCACTGTTGGGGCTAGTGAGATGGCTCAGTGGTCTAAAGCACCTACTTAGTACAAGCTAAGGTAAGCAAAAACACAGGGACCGTGGTTCAATCCCCCAGCACCACATGCCAGCCAGCCCCCCCCCCCCGTGGGCTGAGCTGGCCACACACACACACCCACACACGCAATAAATAAATAAATAAATATTAAAAAAATTATGGCACTGTTTTGCCAGCCTTTTACAGAAAGTATATGTTGGTCTATATCCTTGGGGAGTGGCTTCCAAGTACCCTGAGCTGTTTTTCCTTGCCTGTGATGAATTTAATCTAAGGGTCAGTGTTACTCAGAATATGACAGTTTCCTGAAACCACGTTCAATCTGATTATCTTGAGATTGTGTGATACAAGGATGTGCACAGTAAGTATCAAATATTTCACATTTCCTGGAGGCAGGTCAAAGAGGAAAAAGTCAGGATAAGACTGTTGCATTTACTACT